GAAAGTGACTAACCGAGGAACACCCCTTACATTCACTGCCTAACCGTGACCACACTGTACGATCGATCATGAGCGTTCCTTTCCCCACTTTTAAAGTAAACCTCTACGTAACGAAACCGAAGTCTGCCTTCCTCCGCCAACCTGAACTTCACTCTTCAAGCCAAAAGACAACACTTCCCCGTCCCCGGGCGAAACCCCCTGGCCTTTCATTGGTAGAGCTGCCACAACACCAGTGGCATGTACCTCACAGGGGCTGACTGAACGGCCGGCGAGATGCTTTCAGCCTCAGACACTTGGCGGGTTCTGAAATGGCAGGGCAGGCCAGATTCACGACCCTGCCGGGCTAGATTTGACCCGTGGGACATAGGCCTACACCCCTGGCCTACACTGACTGGCAGCAGCTCCCCAGAGTTTCAGGCAGGGATTTCGTCCAGCCCTTGCAGGAGATGTCAGGGGTTGACCCTGGGACGTTCTGCATGCCAAACAGATGCTCTAGGGCTCCCCATATTTCATTAGCCTGTCAACATTCTGCTGTTAGCAAGCGTGGAGATTCCACCTGCCTCTTTCAAAAGGAGAAAACTCACCTGATCAAATTATTATTATTATTATTATTATTATTATTATTATTATTATTATTTATACCCTACCCATCTGACTGGGTTCCCCAGCCACTCTGAGCGGCTTCCAATAAAATATTAAAATACAGTATTCCATCAAATATTCAAAGCTTCCCTAAACATAATAAGAACAAGCATCCATTTTCAGTCCTTTGAATTAGCAATTAAGCATTTCTGGAAAGGGGAATGGCATACTTTTGTATATTAGTATGAAAAGCATGCATAAGAAATTATTACTCATTTAATTTATTACTCATTATTACTCATTTTGGCAGGGGAAAGGTCTCCCTTGGGAGGTGGTGGACTCTCCTTTCTTGGAGGTTTCTGAGCAGAGATCGGAGGGCCATCTGCCACGGATGCTTTAGCTGAGATTCCTGCATTGCTGGGGGTTGTAATAATAATAATAATAATAATAATAATAATAATAATAATAATAATAATTATTATTATTATTCTTAATTATTTATACCCCACCCATCTGGCTGGGTTTCCCCAGCCACTCTGGGTGGCTTCCAATCAAACACTAAAATACAATAACCTATTAAACATTGAAAGCTTCCCTCAACAGGGCTGCCTCTTTAGGGAACTAGACCCGGCCCCCTCTTGCTTCGGGTTGGACTAGATGACCCTGGGATCCCCTCCTATCTCTCCACTCCTGAATTCTAGGAGGAGCTTCCTTGCCTCCTGCAAAGCCCTTTTCCCTGCAAGCTCTTCCTCTGGTTTCCGGCCAAGGGAGGGAGATGCTCAGAGTCCAGCCAAGAGCCTCACCCCCAAAAGGATATCTGGGCAGTGGCGGAGCCGGGGGGAGCAGCTGCCCCCCTAAATCCATAAGAAATAATAGAAATCTGAGGTTCTGCCAAGCGAGAGAGGGCTAAGCTGGAGGGACTCGGCTTGGCAAGGGTTAAAGGGAAGTGAGCTGCCTTCCTAGAGAGGAAAGGAAGCAAGGGGGGGCCAGGTCCTCCAGAGCCAAGGCCCCTCCCTCCCCAGTCCTTTCCTTGCTTTGGGGTCTCTCCTGCCTCGCTCTCCCCTCCTGGGATCTGGTGGGTCTCCTCTCTCTCCCCCAAGAGGGTGCAGTGGGGAGACGGTGGGGGGGGGTCCCAGGGCTGCAGCGGGGGAGGGTGCCTGGGGGGCCAGATCTGCTCATGTGGGGGGGACCCCAAGTCAGGGAGGAGAGGGTCCTGCCAGGGAGGGGCCAGGTCTGCAACTCTCTCCTTCCTGGAGATCAGAGGATCCCTGACTCCCACGAAATCTCCCTCCTTTAAGCAAAGGAGTCCCTGGGACTTTAACTCTGTGTGACGTTGCTCAGCCTCATTGCACAACAGAGGAAATATCTGCAAATGGTTTTCCAAAGCTGGACGAGGAGGTGGACTAGCCCCCCAGAAAAAAAAAAACCAGCGGGGAGGAAGGAAGGAAAAGTAGGAAAGAGAGGCCAGGGATAAAGAGAGGGATCCCAGGCCATAGTCTGGCTGCTGCATTGGGGACCAGTTTCCCAGTGTCTCCCAGGGCAGCTCCCCACGGAGGCCACTGCAGCAATCCCCTCGCACCCAGAGCAGGGCATCCCAGGACCACATCCTCTCTCTCCCAAAGGGATTGTTGCTGGCAAAGCAGCCGGAAATGGGCGCTGCTACTCACTGAGCCTCCAGGGACCTTGGCCTCAATGGCTGTGTGTGTTAAGCTGGCTAACAGAATAATACTACTACTACTAATAATAATAATAAATTACACACCTAAATTCAAAGGTGATGTCTTTGGCCCTGACCATACCTGGCCCTCAGAGCAAAGAAAAAGGGAGCCCACCCCAGGAGTCTGCCTTGAGAGTGGCAGAGAGTCCAAGTGCAAGAAAAGGAGACAGAAGCAGGGGAGTTGGGGGGGGGGAGCAACTCCTGAGGACCCCCCAGGTGAGGACGCCCACTAGAGAAAAGCATCCATTTATCACAAGATACAAATGACTCCCTTGTCAGTCGGTTCTGACTTCTTGAATTGACTGGAAGGCAGCAGAAACCAGGTTTGAATTGACTGGAAGGCAGCAGAAATCCCTTCAGTTGCCTCCACATTTTGCATTGCTAGAAGGCTAGAGACTTATTTCTTCTTCTCCTCATCCTTTTCAAAAAGATAGCTCATGGTATGGGATGCGGTGAAGTCCAGCCCTGGTTCCCAGCAAGACTCATCCATGCTTGATCATTTCTTTTCCTGTCCTACAAATTCTGTAACAGAACAATATATTTGCTTTGTAGGATTTGCTAGAGCTTCTCATTTAGACGGGCAGAACTTGGCAGAAGACCAAAGGGTTCCTTCCGATCTCTCAGAGGCTTCCTGAGAGCACAGATGGATGTACGAGACACAGCTGGCCCCAAAGCAGGAAGAGGCCATGCCAACCAAACTGGGAGCAGTGAGGGATTCTGGCAAAACCCAGTGCAGAAGATTCTGGGTGAGGAGGACACCCTCCACTCAGAGGGGCGGACCTGGCAGTTGAGGCAGTTCTGCTGCCAGGAGGCCAAAGGACCGCGAGAGATTGGCAGCCGACTCTACCACTTTTGCCATCAATGGCTGAAGCCAGAAAGGCACACGAAAGCTGAGATGCTGGACCTGGTGATCTTGGAGCAGTTCCTGGCTGTCCTTCCTCCGGAGATGGAGAGCTGGGTGAGGGAATGCGGAGCGGAGACCAGTTCCCAGGCGGTGGCCCTGGCCGAAGGTTTCCTCCTGAGTCAGGCAGAGGAGAGAAAGCAGGTGAGGGAGACTTCCCTCTGGATACTCCCAAGGGCTCCAAACAGGACAGAGAACATCCCATAATGGTTTGCTGATGGCCTATCCGTTTTCTGGGAAGGCATCCATGGAATGAGATCTCACACCCTTCAAGTCTTTGTCATTCTCTTTCTAGTATCTCTCACCATTCTCTGTTTTGAATCCTTGTTTATTTTTCAGGGAAAGGATCTCTTTGCAGAAATGGACCTGGATTCCTGTGAGGCAGAGAGGCCTCCGTTGGACACCAGAGAGAGGCCACTGGGTAAGGAGGAAGGTGGTTTTTCTCTGTTTGGTCTCATTCTGTTGGTTTTCCAACTCATCTGAGGGTTCTTTTCATCTTGTTTTGGGGGGAGACAGTTGGGAACAAGGTTCCAGAGGAGGGGAGATGTATTTCTGCACAACAAACATATGAAATGGGCACAAACGTCTAAATGTTCTCAGCAGGTAAGCATTTCTCAAAGGCCCATCTGTAGTTAGAGATGCTCTGTTTCACCTGTGAGAGAAGCAGGCACTCCTGGCGTCCTGCTTACCTTTTTTCTCTTGCAGGTGGCAGAAGGATGCCGGCAAGACCTCCTGATCCACCTTTTCATGGGGGCAGAAGGGAAGCAGCGGCTGTGGAACCAGATCAGGTCAGGGGAAGCTGCCTTGTGGGGACAGAGGCCGAGGGATGGAGCAATGTCATTTACTGGTTGGGCACAGAGGAATGGTGGGAGGAAACAGCCGGGGAACCAGGAAGGGAAGACGGCTCAGAGCTGAAGGAGTGGAGGTGGAGGAAGGATGAGCGGTCAGAGGGAGAAGAGGGAGAAGCCTGAGAAGAGGAGGTGTCAGCTGAAGGGGAAACAGGGCTTAGTGAGCTGGGAGACTCTGTGGCAGAATCCAGTGCAGAATCAGAGGCAGAAGAGGAAGGAAGCGAGTGGGAGGAGAGGTCGAGAGGCAGAGGTGAGTCAGGATAAGGAAGAGCCACCGGTGGCTCCCTCTCCTTTTGCCAGAAGCCACCCTCCCTGCTTGTCTCTCAGAGCCAGGAGACCCCCTGCAATGCAGGAATCTCTGCTAGATCATCCAAGACCAAAAGAGGCTTATTTTATTTCTAGATTGATAACTGAATGCAAAAATTGGTTTCTAAGCAGTGGACAAATGAGAACAAATAGTGGCCTGGATTCACCTAAGCAGCCCCATCTACTGCAAAATGGGGCTTGCTCCACATTCCTCCCCCTCTCCATGCCCCCATGACCCCCTTGGATTTGACTCTAGGGCATTGGGAGGGAACCTTCCCAGAACAGCTCACAAGGAGATGAGAAAGTGGATCCTTCCATTGGGGAAACTGGAATGCTTGCGTAGGCAGAATGACTTGAAAAACACAAGGTGGAGTACCACCTATTTGCGCAGAAACGAATACCCATAATTAAAATGAAGATTAAAATAAGCATCCATAATTAAAATGTGCAGCAAAGCAATCATATTAAAACAACACCACAATGTACAGCAAGGAAACAACAGAGCATTGTGGAGCAGATCATATTTCTGCTGTCTCAGAGGACATTTCCCTTTTTCTTTTAGAGTCCAGTGTGCTTTGAAGATGTTGCTGTTCGTTTCACGGACGAGGAGTGGGCGTTGCTGGATCCTGACCAGAGAGCTCTGCATAAGGACGTCATGGAGGAGAATCGTGGGATCGTGGCCTCTCTTGGTAAGGCTCCCTGTGGGAACGTTATAGCTGCCTGGAAATTCAAAAAATACGTCTATGGACCAACCTCATATATTTTCACAGAGCTCAATAGTGGCCCCTATATCACCTGGGAACTTAACACCCCCACAATAAACAGTAAATTACAGATTTTTCTTTGAACAATCTTCCTCAAATTATTCCTTTTTCTACCATGATTGTGTTAGGATATTGATGTTCCGTTCCACCTAAACAGATGTGTGGAGCTATTGTATGTCACATGTCTGTTTACATTCCAGCACAGCTTGCTGGGAACTTCCGTTTGTGTATAGCTTTTGCCTCATGCTTCCTGCTCTTAGACATGAAGGAGAGCAGACATGTTTTTCTTTGTCTTGAGCTATGCTGAATAAACTGCTTGTAAATATGCTTTACATATGCCTGTGTCCACCCTTATGTCATGAAGAGTTAATTACTCTGCTGATTAGAGGGTGCTCCAGCTTCTGAAGAGTCCTGAAGCTGCGGGTCGCTGTTTGATGCTGTTCCGAGGACCAGAGTTTGCCCGGTTACCGGCCGGTGGGCTGGAGCCAGCTGGGGGCCTGCCTAATGCCCCTGTTTCCCTTGGACGCATCCCAACAGATTGGGCTGGTCTGAACTTCAGAGGCCATCTTAATGTTAGTTTTTATTGTTCATCTCTGGCCCTTGAGCTGATACGGCTCATCTTGCCTTGAGCCCAGCAGAGTAAAATCCCAGAGTCCGCAAACGAAAGGATGAAGCAGGTATGGTGCTACATTGCGAAAAGCTTTATTCCTGAACTATGCTGAGAGCATACAAATATACATCTTGTCTCTGTGAGAAGCAGAGAGCAACTCTCAACGAAACAACAGAACAAATAAACAGGAAACCAGTGAACATCACATCCAGTCTCCCTTTCCCGTGGGAACCCAACAGTAACTTGACTGTGGAATGGAAACATAGTCCCATGACTTGCAGCTGCTGCTCAGTGAGGGAAACAGAAACTAACACTTAAATGCCAGCTTCAGAATTGTTAGGAAAGCTGAGTAGCTTCAGGTTTTTGTTATTGCTCCTGTCAGTCTTGGGTTGACCAAAGAGGGGACTGGCAGCGAAGCTCAGGTGCTGCCAGCCAGAGAAGAAGCAGGCCTAGGGAGAGGAGAGTTAGCAGCGGAAGGCAGAGAGGAGGGGGAGAGGAACTGTCATCTGAGCTCTGAACAAAGGGGAGAAGAAAAAGAGAGACAGAGTGACAGACAGCTGTGTGAGAGCTACAGGAGTGAGTCAGACGCTGGAATGCAGGAAGCATTCTCTGCCAAATTTAAAGAAGGTGGGGGCTTCCGTGCTGGGGAAGGGGGAGGAGCTCAGTCTGGGCAACTCCATCTTGTGGGGAGGACGATGAGTAGAGGAGCTCCGTCCAAGTTTGTTGTTTTAGCAATAAATCTGAAATTATTAACATCCAGAGTCCTCTCACGTTTGTGGGAGAGAACAAGGACTGACATTGGAGATGGAGGGGATGCCATGACTGGGCCAAACAAAATCCATCCCAGAGAAGAGCTAGGCTTATGGAATCTCAGGTAGAGTAGCAGTGATGAGGAGGAGGATGATGATGATGATGACACAATGGTACCTCGGTTTACAAACTTAATCTTTTCCGGAAGAGGACTGTTCTTAAATCAAGGTACCACTGTAGTAATAATAATAATTTTTATTCCTACCCTGCCCATCTGGCTGGGTTGCCCCAGCTACTCTGAGCGGCTTCCAACACATATATAATCATGAAACATAAATAACACTAATCTGATTCCATATAAAAAGAACATTAACTTTAAAATGAACAACTTCTACTAGTGGCCAAAATTTTGGAAACCTTTTGTGAAAAGTGTATTTCTGAGGTTTGATGGCTCATAACACCACTTTTGTGTGGAGTAATACCATAAAATCATATAGCAACGGAAAGATAATTTAATGAAGAAAGTAATGCAATGACTTTTATGAAGGAGTCATAAAGTATCAGTGTGTGGAATGTTGGAACAGCAGTCATAAAGTGAAAACGTGAAACCTTTGGTAACCATTGGTAACCTTTAGCTTTAATTACGGCCTTACAACGCCTTCGCATGGAGTGAACCAAGTTTTTAGTTCTGCAGCTGTAATAATGTGAAACTAAGACTGAATTATTGCCTCTGTTAATTGGGCTTTATTGCTGGGTTGCCTTTGATTAACAAGTTTCTTTAGTCGGCCCCATAGATTTCCGATTGGGTTAAAGTGTGGGCTATTCCCAGGACATTCTGGCAGTGGAATAGAATTATCTTGAAAGCACCGCTTGCACACAGCAGCAACACGACATGGAGCTGAATCCTGTTGAAAATATATAAATGCTCCGGTATCAGGGAAAAGATCACCTGCGGAACACTTCAGTTTGGGCTCACGTATTTTGTTTATGCATTTTTCCGCATTTATATTCCCATTAATGACGCAAATTCTGCCCACACCTTTTGCTGCCATACAACCCCAGATCATCACACTATCTGGGTGTTTCATGGTTGGTGTAATGCAAGTAGGATGTAAATCTTCTCTGATTCTTCTCCTCGCATATTTCATGCCATCACTACCAAGCAAGGAGATTTGGGTCTCATCCCTCCAAATAACACTGTCCCATTGTTCCACTGTACAGTTAACATGGGTTTAATCTTTTCAACCTTTGTTTGAGAGATAACAATGGCTTTTTCCTTAGAACTCTAACATTTAGACCAGTCCTTGCACTCAACTTCACATTACATGGCTCCATGTCATCTTGTATACACCCAGATGATTTTCTTCTGTCATATAGGCACAGTCTCTCCACTCGGCCATTGTCACCTACCTTTGTGCACCTTTCCCTGCCTTAACAAGTCTGATTTTGTAGTGACTGAGTCTCCTTATACCTCTTCCAAAATATAGAAATGCCAGCTTTGGTTATGTTTCCTCCAGTCTCTCTTCTAATTTCTTCATAACTGTAGCCTTCTTCACTTAATAGTACAATCTTACATCGCTTTTTGGGTGACCAGTCAACGTTTTGTGCTATTTCTATAATTTTATTATGTTTTACAACGTAAGCAAATTGTGCTTCATTTTTCTGGTTATTTGGCTATAATGTTTGATAGAATATGGTATAATTAAACAAACTTTGTTGAATTGCATTCTTGATAAAATTATCTTTCCATTGATATATAATTTTAGATTATTACTCCAAAAGAAGCGGTGTTTTGGGCCACCAAACCTCTGAAATACACTTTTCTCCAAAAGGCTTCTGCAATTTTGACCACTACTGTATATCAAACAAAGCAACATTCAATGACACATCAGAATCTCATAATAAATATGTTGGTTAATGACAAACAACACATATAATGAACACACACCCAACTCCCTTCAGTTCTTCTCCATTTGTTCCTAAGGCTCTAATCCCTTTTTGTTTCCAATGCAGATTGTGATGAAACGGAAATCGAGAACAAAGGTGACCACGACAAAATCCCCAGAAAGGAGAAGCCACACAAAAATTTGGAGTGTGGAGAAAGCTGCAGTCAGAGCTCCCATTCTACTTCCCATCAACAAAATGTCATTGGAAAGAAACTCTATCAGTGCATGGAATGTGGAAAGCGCTTCAGTCAGAGCTCCCATCTCAATTCCCATCAAAGAATTCACACAGGGGAGAAACCCTATCAGTGTGTGGAATGTGGAAAGAGCTTCACTGATAGCTCCTCTCTCACTTCCCATCAAAGAATACATACAGGGGAGAAACCCTATCAGTGTGTGGAATGTGGAAAGAGCTTCACTGATAGCTCCTCTCTCACTTCCCATCAAAGAATTCATACAGGGGAGAAACCCTATCAGTGTGTGGAATGTGGAAAGAGCTTCACTGATAGCTCCTCTCTCACTTCCCATCAAAGAATACATACAGGGGAGAAACCCTATCAGTGTGTGGAATGTGGAAAGAGCTTCACTGATAGCTCCTCTCTCACTTCCCATCAAAGAATTCATACAGGGGAGAAACCCTATCAGTGTGTGGAATGTGGAAAGAGCTTCAGTCATAGCTCCTCTCTCACTTCCCATCAAAGAATTCATACAGGGGAGAAACCCTATCAGTGTGTGGAATGTGGAAAGAGCTTCAGTCAGAGCTCCTCTCTCACCTCCCATCAAAGAATTCATAAAGGGGAGAAACCCTATCAGTGTGTGGAATGTGGAAAGAGCTTCAGTCATAGCTCCTCTCTCACTTCCCATCAAAGAATTCATACAGGGGAGAAACCCTATCAGTGTGTGGAATGTGGAAAGAGCTTCACTGGTAGCTCCTCTCTCACTTCCCATCAAAGAATTCATACAGGGGAGAAACCCTATCAGTGTGTGGAATGTGGAAAGAGCTTCAGTAAGAGCTCCTCCCTCACCTCCCATCAAAGAATTCATAAAGGGGAGAAACCCTATCAGTGTGTAGAATGTGGAAAGAGCTTCAGTAAGAGCTCCTATCTCACTTCCCATCAAAGAATTCATACAGGGGAGAAGCCCTATCAGTGTGTGGAATGTCGAAAGAGCTTCAGGAAGAGCTCCTCTCTCACGTCTCATCAAAGAATTCATACAGGGGAGAAACCCTATCAGTGTGTGGAATGTGGAAAGAGCTTCACTGATAGCTCCTCTCTCACCTCCCATCAAAGAATTCATACAGGGGAGAAACCCTATCAGTGCATGGAATGTGGAAAGAGCTTCAGTCAGAGCTCCTCTCTCACTTCCCATCAAAGAATTCATACAGGGGAGAAGCCCTATCAGTGCATGGAATGTGGAAATAGCTTCAGTCAGAGCTCCCATCTCACTTACCATCAAAGAATTCATACAGGGGAGAAACCCTATCAGTGTGTAGAATGTGGAAAGAGCTTCAGTCAGAGCTCCCATCTCACTTCCCATCAAAGAATTCATACAGGGGAGAAACCCTATCAGTGTGTGGGATGTGGAAAGAGCTTCAATCAGAAATACAGTCTCACTTCCCATAAAAGAATCCATACAAAGTTCGGAAAAAACATTATACAGCTTTTGGAGCCTGGCAAATCCGCATCTTTATAACCAGGCCTTTAGCTGATTGACATCTACTGCCCTTTTAACATGTGGGGTTTTTTGTGTTTTTATGTTGTAACATTCCTCAGACCTGTGGGTGTAGGGAATAGGTGCCAACTATTAAAGGCCTGGGGTCTTTGCCCCCCCAATAAAATATTTGAGGAGAACTTCCAATTGGCCGCCCGATTTATGGCGGATGGAAGCTCTTTCCGCTGAAAGAGCCCCGGCACTTTCAAGATTGGGGTGATCGTGAGAGCGTCGCGGAACCCCGAAAAATACCTCAGATTGAGCATTCTGAGAACCTGGTGTTTCGGCGGGTACCCTTAGCAACCCCCCTGCTCCCCAGTAAGCACTAGTAAGAGCTCCGAGAGCGAGCGGGATTGGAGACGGTACTGTGGAATCGACTTGCTTCCTTCACTGCGCAAAGCTCCAAAGCCCGGTGATCGTGAGTGACCAATTTCTCGGACTAAATTAAGATTGGAAAACTGTGAGTAAAAAAGGTTTGCATTTGGACATTAAATTGGACTGGAAGGGATTTAAACACAGAGGTCGATCCCTTTCTACTGAAGAGAAAGTGAAAGCAGTTACCGCTGACCGAAGCCATAACTTTAAAAGACGTGCTAAAAACTTTCAAGGAAATATTCCAAGCCCCTCTTTCTGCAGGGGGGAGGGCAGAGAATTTGACTGAATTGGGACCCTGCATGAGATAGATTTGACAGAGAATAGACTCTTGCTTTCTGGAAGCGGACCTCCCAGTGAAGAAAGGCTAGACTCACAAAGGGAGAGGATACTTTCAACTTTTGTTTTCCTCTTTGGGGATTACAAAGTAACTGCAGCTGTCTGAACTTGCTGAAACATTGTACAGTGTATTTTTACCCTCCTGGAATTGTTTACAATAGTTCAAATCAATTTTGGATGCTTTTCAATAGGAATAAGAAGAGTAAAAGATTGGCGATAGGCGAAGGGGATCGAGATACGGATAGGCTCGTACCCTTTCCAATCTGCGCCCCATCCTGAGGGACAAGGGTAGGGTGAGCAAGGATTACTCACCTCCGTCACTGGTGTTGTGCAATGCCAGGTCTATAGGCAAGAAAACTGCCACCCTGCGAGATTTCTTCATCTCTCAGGGGGCCGACCTGGCTTGTGTGACAGAGACCTGGGTGCGCGAAGGGGAAACTGTTACCTTACGAGAGATGGCGCCCCCGGGTTTCTCCGTACTCCACCAGTCACGGACTGTGGGCCAGGGGGGAGGGGTGGCATTATTAATCCAGGAAGATTGTTCTTTCGGGGCTCTACCATCACCATTGATCCCCGGCATTGAATGTGTTGGCCTAGTGTGGGGCTCTGAGGTCAGCTTGGCTGTCTGGCTGGTGTACCGGCCACCTAGCGCACCAGCAGCCACCCTGTCAGGCCTGCTGGAGGCGGTGGCCGGCTGGGCCTTGGAGTTCCCTAACCTATTGTTATTGGGGGACTTCAACATCCATGCTGATGCCACTCCCTCCTCACAGGCTCTGGACCTGGTGTCTTCCATGGCGACACTAGGGCTCTCCCAGTTTGTTTCGGGCCCCACACATCAAGCAGGCCACACACTGGATTTGATCTTTGGCGCCGGTATAGATGTGATCATGTCTCCTTCGATGAAGGTGCCATGGCCTGATCACTACGCTCTGAAAACCAGGATTGACTTTCCACCCCCACCCTGCTTAGGTGGCCAGCCAATTTGGGCTCGCCCGCAGAGGCTGATGGACCCTGATAGATTCCGTCAAGCCTTGCGGGATGTTGCTCCCCCTGGCAACTCATTGACTGAGCTTGTTGAGGGCTGGAATATCCAGCTCCTGGCAGCCATCGATGAGATCGCACCTAAGCGCCCTCTGCGACCCCGCAGAAACCGAGCTCCCTGGTTTACCGAGGAGCTCCGGAAAATGAAGCGGGACCTCAGACAGCTAGAGCGAGTATGGCGGGGTGCCCATGACGGAGCCTCAAGAACATCTTATAGGGTTTTATGAAAACCTATGAGATGGCAGTGAAGGCCGCTAAGAAGTCTTAATTCTCGGCCTCCATTGTATCCACTAGCTCTCGCCCGGCGCAATTATTTAGTATAATTAGGTCTTTAACGTCCCTTGAAGGACAGCCAAATTTAAATAACAATCTGACACACAGCTGTGAGGCATTTGCGAGCTTTTTTGCAGAGAAGGTCCTGTTGCTCCGCCATGACCTCCCTGCCAATTTGGATACAATAAAGGAACTGGAGGCCCCTCGACTGTCCTCTGGTCCAGTATTGGACCACTTTGACTGGATATCCCCAGCCAATGTGGACAGACTCCTCCGAGCTGGAAAGCCCACCACCTGTCCTCTTGACCCGTGCCCGTCTTGGCTGATTAGAGCGTGTCCAGATGAGGTGCGGGGCCCCCTGGGGGATATCATCAATTTGTCCCTTGGCACCGGGATATTCCCAGGGGAACTGAAGGAGGCAGTGGTGCATCCGCTCTTAAAGAAAACATCATTAGATCCCTTAGATCTATCCAATTACCGCCCGGTTTCGAATCTTCCATTCCTGGGTAAGGTGATTGAGAGAGTGGTTGCTGAACAGCTTGGTAGGTTTCTGGATGAAACATCGGCTCTGGATCCATTCCAGTCCGGCTTCCGCGCTGGTCATGGGACCAAGACGGCTCTGGTCGCCCTAACAGATGATCTCTGCAGGCAGCTGGATCGAGGCGGGTTGGGGCTGCTGATTCTTCTAGACCTGTCAGCAGCCTTCGACATGGTTGATCACGAACTCCTGGACCACCGCCTTGCCGACGTGGGGATCCAGGGCACAGTCCTTCAATGGCTGCGCTCGTTTCTCTCTGGTCGGGAACAGAGGGTGGCACTTGGGGAATTGTCATCGCGCCACTCCTTGGTGTGTGGAGTGCCTCAGGGTGCGATACTCTCCCCGATGCTTTTTAACATCTTTATGCGCCCCCTCGCCCAGCTTGTCCGGTGTTTTGGGCTGGGTTGCCATCAGTATGCCGATGACACCCAACTCTATCTGTTGATGGATGGCCATCCTGACTCAGCCCCAGACACACTGACCAGACGTGGGAGCCGGTTGAAGTTAAATCCTTCGAAGATAGAGGTCCTCTGGCTGGGACGGGGCGATATGGGATTGAGGGGGCAACTCCCATCTCTTGCGGGGGTGCAATTAGTGCCAGCACCATCCGTTAAGAGTTTGGGTGTAATCTTCGATACCTCCCTCTCTATGGAGGCGCAGATTACAGCTATAACAAAGGCGGCATTTTTTCATCTCCGCCAAGCTAAGCAGTTGGCCCCTTATCTCTCTCACCCTGACCTAGCCACTGTGATCCACGCAATGGTCACCTCCAGACTGGATTATTGTAACTCGCTGTACGTGGGGCTGCCCTTGAGACTCACCCAGAAACTCCAGCGGGTGCAGAATGTTGCGGCGAGACTCCTTATGGGGTCTTCGCTGCGAGATCACATTCATCCGGTGCTATACCAGTTGCACTGGCTCCCGGTGGAGTACAGGATCAGGTTTAAGTTGCTGGTTTTAACCTTTAAAGCCCTATACGGCCTAGTACCCTTGTACCTATGGGACCGCCTCTCCTGGTATGTCCCACAGAGAAACCTACGGTCTGCAAATAAAAACATCCTGAAGGTCCCAGGCCTCAGAGAGGTTAGGCTGGCCTCAACTAGAGCCAGGGCTTTCTCAGCTGCGGCTCCAATCTGGTGGAACGCTCTGTCACAAGAGACTAGGGCCCTGCGGGACCTGACATCTTTCCGCAGGGCCTGCAAGACAGAGTTGTTCCACCAGGCCTTTGGTCAGGGTGCAGCCTGACTCCCTCCTCTGGCAACCTGCACAGAATTTTGCTTAACGGTTGCCATTAATTTGATTTTAATTAATTTTTATAATGAAATGTTTTTAGAATGTTGGATTATTTGATTGTTTGATTATTTGATTGTTGTTAGCCGCCCTGAGCCCAGCTTCGGCTGTTGCGGGCGGGATATAAATAAAATTTTTTATTATTATTATTATTATTATTATTATTATTATTATCATTATTATTAAGAATAAGACTTTGAAAGGGGGAGCTGCTGAGCTGCCTGTTGCTGTCTGTGTACTAAAAACCTGTGGACTGAGTCTGGGTGAGCGGACCTTGAAACTGTGGAATAGTTATGGCTAATGGTGTAGGTAAGCCTGAGAAAAACAAGCCTAAAGACAGAAGAGGCTCTAAAGCACTAACTGAAGAGTCGGTGATGCAAATGTTGACTGAAATAAAAACAGATGTAAGAGGAACCCAGCAGAGCCTACAGGAGCTTAAACAAGAATTTGTAGATTTGAAAAAAGAAATTCAAGAAGTCAAGGCAGAAGTTACAGGTCACAAGACAAGATTGTCAGAATTGGAAAGTCCCTGAGAGTCCCTGATGTGGAGAGGACCCAACAGGAAGCACTTAATGCAATTGCTTTTTTGCCTGGAAGAATCTGGGACCAGAAAGAAGAGGAGACACAAGAAGATTGGAAGAAATTTAAAGAATATTTAGCTAAATATTGATATATATGATAATGAGGAGTCACTTGGAAGTAACAAATAGGCATAGGACTAAAAATATGAACGTGTTGTAAAATATGAAGGATTAGAATACTAATAAAAGAGACGAGGGTAGTAAATAGGAGATAATTTTATTAGAAATATGATTTTGGAGAACTGTTACAAGGTGATACAATGAAATTCAGTTAGGGGGGGGACTCGATGAAGTCAGTTAACAATGTAAGGTAAATTGGGTTTTGAAAGTAATAATTGTTTCTATGTTTTTCTTTTGTATTCTAATGTGTTTTCTTTTGTTGTGTGTTGTGTTGTGTAATGTCATTTCTTCTTAGAAATTTGGAAAAGCAATAAAAAAAATTGGAAAAAAATATTTGAGGAGGCCACCCCTCAGGTGTTTTTTTTTTTAA